ATTCCAGGAGATCCCATATTCAATGTGTATGCACCATTCATACACACAGAGCACAGATATACTTGCAGGCAAAACTCCCAAACACATAAAATAATCTTTAAAAACCAAACAACCCGCTAGTTCGGCAGTAGCTGTCCGGTGAGTAAAAGAAGTGAAGCTGGAATGAATGTGCACAGCTGGATAGACAATGTAAAGTTTATACATTCTTTCAAATACACTAGGAACAGGTAGTTTGTAACATAACGCCCTTCTCATTCTAGACAACAGATCTGATGCCAAAGAGAGACCAAGTCAGATGGGGTGTGGGGAAAGTGACACTGGTTTGGAACAATGCAGGCCTAGAGGCACTGGAACACTCCCGTCAGCTTCATGGCACCAGTGCTCCCCAACACCAGGCCCTTGTTCCCAGTGTTCAACAGCATTTTCCAAACTGTGCCCCCGGGGAAGCTCGCAGGAGTAGATGTGGTGATGAGCCACAGTGTCTGTCAAACTTCCCAATTCTCAGAACACAGCAGAGAACCACAGATGGGCAAACTGTGTGCTCCACGCGGAGCTCAGAATGATTCAGAAACGCAATGGTAACACACCCTCTGCAGCCCCCTGTCACAAGCCACGGGGCATTCCCAGATGCATCCTCAAAACTCCTAGCATACCTAACAACACTCCTAAGCTGTCTACCAATCTACTTAACACTCAGCCTTTGGCAGCAGCACGTCCTAAACGTGACCGTGTGTGGAATGCTTCATGACAGTCCCATGCCTAGGTCTCATCTGAATCTACCCACAGTTTCGGCTGTGGGAGAGGACAGCAATCAATCTGATAATGATAGATAGTTCCAACATACAGCAGAGCTTCTGAACTCTTCAGCTGAGACAGTTTTCAATGCGTGTCCAGGAAACTTTTTTCCCATATTGCAACATAGCAACATCAGGTCCTAATAAAAGTTTTTCCCAAATGGTAATTTAAAAAAAAAACAGGAATATAATCCTCAGAGTGATGGTAGTTAGAAGTGAGGGCTTTGTAGAATGAATGGGTAAGTCATGAATGGGTTAAGATCCCTATAAAAGGAGCTTCAAGGGATCTGGAGAGGTGGGTTAGTCAGTGTCTGCCGAGGACCTGATTTCATACCCACAGCCCCAAAGCACTCATGTGAAACCCACAGTTGGTACTGCACATCTGTAACCCCAGAGCTGAGGAGGGCAAAAAGGACAATCCTGGGGCGTTCTTGGCTTCCAGTCTAGGCAAGAAAGTGAACTCTACCAAGTGAGATCCTCAAGAAAAATTATATACATAAATTTTATGTGTAATATATATATTAATATATAATGTATTATAAATTAGCATGTCTTATACATTATACATCTATGTTATCTATATATATATATATATATATATAATATATGTGTGTGTATATATATATATATATATATATATATATATATATTTTTTTTTTTTTTTTGAGAATGCTTGAGTAACAATCTGGATATAGACCTCTGGCTTCTACATATATGTGTGTGTGCACACACATCAAAGGGAGGGCTTCAGAGAGCCTTCTGGCCCCTCCATTTGCCATTACATGACATGGGAACATATAATGCCTGTACCTTTAGCCCCTTCCATCAGTTCTGCCCTGTGAGGCTACCACAAGAAAGCCTGTCCAGACATAAAACGTCTGTGCTCTTGACGCCTGGCTTTCTGGGCTCCAGAAAAGAAATGTTTCTCTTCTTTATAAACTACCCACACCAATCTTATCACTAGAGACTAAGCCAGCTGCTGTCTCCAGCTTTTAGAAATGACAACTGAGGCACAGAGAGGTTAACACTTTCACAGATCACACAGCTGATAGCCTACAAGAGACAAATCACAAGGCCAAGAACAGAAATGCTAAGAAATTCTCCTTTCCTCTGACATCACGTACCACATGGCCCACTGGGCTTCTTGCCTTGTCTTCTCTGAAGACTTTCAGCCTCAAGTGACTCCTGGCCAAGAAACAGAAGCAAAATTGTCCTATCCTCTCAAACGTACTTGGAGAAAAACTGGTAACAAATTCAGGTCTAATTCCAAGAGAAGACACTGGAGGAGGAGGCAGGGCGTGCAAGGACGCTCACACAGTGGTTTATGCCGAGTCACGGCCATCCATCAATCCTACTAGACAGAGCTGAAGGTTTTTAACCTCTGGGGACGTGGTCATGTTTAAATTAGGGGTCTGATTTGCTTCTATACCTTCCACATGAGCTCATTGGTTTGTTCCATTACAAAATGTATAGGAAAGAAGGAAGCACGATGACTGGTTAACATTTAGCAAGTAAACAATACCCAGTACACGCTAAATACACGTAGCCCTGCAAACCAATATGGAGAATACAACCACACACGCCTGGGACAGACAGCAGGTGCTATAAATCTGAATGCCTCTGACCATAGCTGCACCATTCACAGATTAGAACAAAGCTCTTACGTTACAGGGGACACTTCATCCCCTCGAAGAGTAGCAATCAAGCACATTTCTAAAGCAAAGGTTATTTTTCTTCTGCCACAGAAAAGCCCCAACCTACTCGGATGCGTTTAAAAGTACACATGTAAGCTAGGATGCAAGGTCCCTTTATCTTTAGCACGTTTGCTCTCTGGGCCCCAGGGCCTGAGCTCTGAACTGTAATGCTAGCACTCCAGCACAGCAGACTGACCCATTTGGGTCACTTAGTAAAACACCTTCCCCCTTATCCCTGAGACAGCTGTACTGGAACTTGCTCTGTAGACCAGGTTGGCTTTGAACCCAGAGATCCACCTGCCTCTGCCTCAAGTGCTGGGTTTAAAGGCGTGCACCACCACCATCCAGTTTATTCCAGCACTTTTTAAGGTTTGGGCTACAGGACTGGGCCCATTTTATCCCAGGCTTCCCATCTAGTGCCATCACACAGTAGGTCTGGTCTCACCCTCCCCTTGCATTTGCTTCAGATGTGGACAAGGACTCTCTTTTCTAGTCCAAGACCATGTCAGCAGGCACAGATGTGTGAAATGCTAACTAGGAGAGACTGAGGAAGAAGACAGCAGGCAGTGTGATGGCCTCAGGAAGCTGCTTCCAGCTAAGGATCTCTCAAGACTCTCCCCACTCCAAATCCCAGTCGGGCCTTGCCAAGCCAGTCTCTGATTCGTTGCCAGGGACACCAGGAAACCCGCTCTACCACGCTATTAACAGGGGCTAAGAGGCGAGCAAGGCTTCCTAGCCCGTCTCTATCCAAGTAGATACACAGACTTCTCTGCAGGCTCATCAGTCTTGAAGCTAACTCCCAAGAGGCAAACATGTGGTCTCCGAAATCAGAAGTGTCTAGGCTCCTTGTGTCCTACACAGGCACCAACCGATGCTGTTCCTGAATCATGTGTGACTGTGTTTTCAGACAAGGAAACCAGGTTCTTTAAGCTCTTCTTCCACAGAGCAACAGTCTCATGTCCGAGACGCTTACTATGATTATTATTACCTGTGTCCACCCACTTGGTCAATTGCCACAGTAAATAGCCAGAACTGTATTGAAACAGCATCTGCCAATCTCTGCATTTGCCACACGCCACTGCTCCTTGGGGTCATGTCAAGTATCACACCCTAGCAGAGTCAAAACAGGGTGCAGATTCCTCTGGCTCCTCACACTCACGGGCCCTGCTTCCCTGTTCTGTTCTTTCTCTTCAGTGCAGCAAGCAGAACCATCTACCTTTCTAGAAGGCGCTGAGGTGGCATACTTGTCCCAGCAAACTGTAGGCTACAGTCACAGATATCCAGGAGAATTCACATGCCTCTAATAAGCTAGACAGTCGTGGATTCAAATCTTACTGCTGACAGTGGGGCTCTGGACATGGCGGCTTCCCTGAACCTCCAGATTCCACTGTGGAGCAGTGAAACCCAGCTGCCACCATCTGAACCACAGGGAACAGATGACGTGCACAGATGTTTTCTCCCTCCTTCTAAGAAGCCCATAACCACTCCCGCATGAAACGTATGTTCCAGTGTACGTTCTGCACTTTGTAATGATGCAATTCTCCCAGGAAAGCAAGGAGGCAGAGCGCTCCGGCTACTGACGCTGAAATCCCTAAGTGCCATGTGGTCTGCTATAGAAAGCTGTTCATCCCTGCTGCTCTGGAAAGAATCACTCTTCTAACACACCTGAACGTATACATATTTCTGTGATGTTTTACCCCAATTATGCCATTACATGTCTCAAAGGCGAACATTTTCTTCTTAAATCTTTAAGGCTTCATCCAAAAGAGGAAGGAAAACTACAGATGATTCTACACTAAATATGCAGTTAGTTCTACCTCTAGTTACCTCAGGAAAAAGAAGGAAAATAAAGGTGCTTTCCACACCTAGGCCAGGTGTACAAAGACCTGAGTCCTAAGGCCAGTCCTGGGATTCAGTGGCTGCTCTCCAAATTTGTTGATTTCCGTGCCATGTTTCCTGCTGTGTAAAATCTAAGGTCCCTTCCAGTTAGTAAAGTCCATACCTCCAGCAGTCTCCTTCAGTAAATTTGCCTTCTACTCATGGAAGTGGAGACTAGCCAGGAAAAAACTGACCAAGGTTTAAGACTACATAATGAAATAGAAATTAAAACACTCATGAAGCCACATGGCTCTCAGAGACCCAAAGGTCCACTGTACTAAAGTGAAACTGAACTGACAACTGACACAGGAGCCAGTTAGCAATATACTTTTTATGATGTTTTCTTCCCAACGTCCTGCGTCAAAGATGGGAAGCAGGCTGCAGGCATAGATGAAGGAGACAGCCAGGCTTTCTGAAGGACATCAGCCATTTGACTTTTCCCCAGGCACTGTCCTACAAGAGTAGACTCTGTGCCCTAAACTGGCACACACAGCAAAATAAACAAAACATGTCAAATAACAAACTCATTTCCAAAGCTGAATGCCCGGCCTGTCTGAGGTCAAGAAGTCACATGGCCCCATGAGACTTAAGTCAAACAACACAGTCATGACAAACATGACTGTGGCAGGCTTACCTTCTCTGAACACACCCTCCCCTCATCTGCAAAAGGGGCCAGTGGTGGATCTTCCTTTACAGAGACTGGAGGAAGATTTCAGATGAATATTACTGCTTGGCACAGTGTTTGGCAATGCTGTGTGATCATCACATTAATGTTGATAATGTCATCATTCTAGGACTGCATGTCCAATTCCACTTCAACAGACAGACACAGTGGCAGATGGAGAGGCCTGAGAGCCAGGCAGTGTGCTCACGTGGAAATGCAGAAGCCCTGGTGACACTTCCAGATTTTCTAGAAAAAAACAAAAAACCTGTGTCTGTGAGGTAACTCAGAGCTGACTGGAAAGGAGGAAACTGAGCCTAGTGTTGTTCTTGGCCTGAGGGGGGAGGGAGGACCACAAGAGGGTTCTGAGATCAAGTGAGCTGGAAAAGCCACCAAAGCACTGGCAGGCTGTGGCTGTGGATGAAACAGGTAAAAAGGCCCGAAATAGAGTGTCCAGTGTCACACAGGTCACAAATAAAGGAAAGGTTCACTAAACGGGTGGGGGTGAGGCGGCAAATTGGGGGCCAAGGAGGTGAGCGAAAAATAATTCAAACACTGGATGGGAAGCCTACAGGCTCTGGAGGATGGGGGAGGGGCAGAGAACAAGGTTCAGCCCCACACGGTGGGGGTGCATAATTAACCCGGACCAAGAGAACAATGCGGTGAGGAAGTTTGAAAGGGGGAGAAGGACAGAAAGAGAAAGAGAGCATTTGTTAGGAAAGGTGAAAAGAGAAAACAAGAGTGAGAAGAAGAAAAAACAGCAAACTGGGTGAAATTTCTGTACTTTGAAAAGGAGGATCAAAAAAGATGAACAAAAAAACTAGAAGGTCTAAGCACTAGACAACAGAAATGGGGTGGAAGGGGCCGGAAAAAAATAGTGGGGGAGGGAGAGATACAGCTCTTAGAAGCCTTGGTAACCAGCGGAGAATAAATTCAAATTACTATTCTACTTATCAATGCCACGATCCCATGCTGGGCAGCAACTATAGTAGCTTGGCTCGCTTGTGTTTGCTATAGGGATTTTTTGTTTTCTTTCACTCGGAGAAGAAATTTGCTTCAACTCTGCAACTTTGCAGTTAAGAAGTGTGGTCTGCCAGCACAAGCCACCTGAATTCCTCTCTGACGCCTGCTGCAGCGGTCCCATCCTGAGACTGGACAGTATAGCAATTTCCCATATCCTGAACAGAAATGGAGCCAAACTAACTATGCCAACTCACTCTCTATACAAGTGACGATAAAGTCCCCAAGTCTTTTAGGCTGCGTCCCAGAAGGGACCTGAGGAGAAACGTCCTTTCTAATCTAAGTGCTCCAACTAAAATGCAACCTCTCAATCCCCCTCCATGCACAGGTCACGCCCTCCGAGGAAGGAAGCATTCAAGGGGCCGGTGGCGGCCAACCTTTGTCCGTCGTCCTGGCGCAACCCGGCAGCCCGCCCAGCAAGCAGGGAGCGCGGGTAGATAGAGTTTCAGGGTAATCCCTGACGTCCCGGGGGAAAGGCACCAGCTAGAACAGCACACCGCACCTTCCCCGGGGGGCGCTGCCGGGCTAGCCCAGAGCAACCGCTAGCAGGCGGAGCGCTCACGGTGGCGCAACAGGTGAGCAGCTCCGGTCCGTCCCACGAGCCACAAGCAGGAGCTGGCAGCCGGACACCCTCGGATCACAGAGGCCGCCCTTGGCGCTCAGCTCCTCCGCGATACCCACCCGAGAGCTCGCGTCCCGCAGAGCCTAGCGCCTCCCTGGGTAGCCTCACCTCGGCGGTTCCCACTCCACCGAAGCACCAAAGCCAGGGTATCCAAGAGGTCCTGCTGCCCAGCCGGCTCCAGCAGGGATCGAGCCGCGAGCTCGCCAGGCTCTGCGCGCCGTGGCCTCCACAGAAAGAGCAGCGCGGATTCCGCCCTCCCGCGCACAGCCGCCTCCTCCCACGGGCCACGCCCCCAGCCCGCTCCCGAAGCCACGCCTCCACAGTGCTCTCCTGAAGCCACGCCCCCGAGCCCGGCTCCTTGGGTCCTCAGCCCTCCTTGCTCCGGCAGCCTCCTCTTCCAGGGGCCACGCCCCCAGCTCGTCCTTGTCCCTACCAGGTAGGGACTTTTTCCCTGGACCAAGCTCCAACCCTGCGGTTCAAGCCCCCCAGACCAGGCCCCATGCCTTTGGCCTCAGACGGCACTCTCAACCTAGTTCACTTCGTGCCCCGCCTCTCACTACCTCCACCCGCGCCACCACCAGGTTGAGCCTTCATGCCACTCACTCACTCCAAGTCATGCCTCCGCCCCTTCGGCCCTACTACCCTCTCTAGCCACTCCTCTTTCTCGTTTCACCTTCCCAAAAGACTACTCTCTGGTAAGACCGGGACTCTGTCCCACACCTCCCAGTCCCACTGCAGATCACCGCAGCCACTCACGCACTGGCACCACACACCGGATCTTTCCTGCTCCCTACCTGCCAACACGCTGCCCTGCCCGGGTGAGAGCTGCTGCGTTGCCTGGACGACCGCCTGACGCCCACCGTCCCACCTCCTCCTGGTGGGTACTTCCCGGCTCAGGCTCCTGTTCAGGATCAGGCTCAGGCTCAGGCTCAAGGCTATTCTCTGTGCGGGCTCACCTTTTAAGTCCATGGAAACTCAGCATAAAGATGCTTTGACCTTCTGTTTTCCCAGAGCCTGGACTATGAACTCTCAAATAACTCCTACTTTCCTAACTTGGCTCAACTGAGACCGCAGAAGGGAAGCAACTCGTCAATGCCAGGATCTGTGACACACACACACCCTCCCCAAAATGCGCTGTGGTCATTTCTGAGGAATTCATAAAACAAGTGCATTCTTTTAAAACTTGTGGTTTGCGGAAACGACTCCTTTGAATGGCAACAATATGCCAGCATGATCATTCTAAATATTATCAGCTACTTTATAACCAAAGAACAATCACTATTTTAGACAAAAGAACACTTAAAAATATACAGCAATAAAAAGTTTAAATTAACTTTTAGATTATTTAATATAATAATATATTTGAGAATTTTATACAACATATTTTGATCACATTCACCCTCACTTTCTTACTTTGTTTCTATCTATGTACATGTACATCTGTATGAGTGAGTGAGTGTACTCCGTTTGTATGTGTCTACCTATGAAGGCCAAAAGAAGGAATCAGATCTGGAGCTGGAGTTACAGGAGATTTCGAGCCTCCCAATGTGGGTGCTGAAGACCAAGCTGTGGTCTTCAGGAAGGGTAAGAACTGGGCTTAACCGCTGAGCCAGCTCTCCATCCATAAATTAATTTTGTGTATGTTTTTAAATACTGAAAACCCCACTCTCTAAAGAGGAGTCCATGCCATTACGCATCTGTGGAGAACCATGGCACACATGCCAAAGTGAACCCCGTAAACAGGCTGTGTGTGTGTTGCTTCCTTGTGGTCCTACCACTACTGGTCCATGAGCAGGATCGTACAATGATGCTAATGACAGGAAACCATGGGTGTGTCAAAACTCTTTGATTTCCACCCCATATTTTGTAACTCTGAAATTCTATGAGAAATTCTATATTAAAAACAGGCACCAAAAATATTAGGTAGTATCCCTGGGTTGTGAAAATATGGATTTTATTTTATTCTTTTAATGTTTATTGAAACCCACCTCCTACAGATTTTGACAACCAACATATATTTATAGTAGAAAGTATAAAATATAAACTACAGGACTTGAGAGATGGCTCAGAAGTTAAGACCACTGGCTACTCTTCCAGGAGACCTGAGTTTGAGGTCTAGCACACACATATGTATTTGTGGAGGCTTACAAACATATGTAACTCCAGTGCCAGGGGCCCTGAGGCCTCTTTAAGGCTTCTGCAGGAACCTGGGACACATGAACACAGACATACATGCAACACCTAAACTACACATAAAATAATTACTATTAGTTTTGTTTTGTTTTTCAAGACAAGTTTCTCTGAATAACTCTAGCAGTCTTGGAATTCTTTCTGTAGATCAGGCTGGCCTTGAAATCAGAGATCCACCTGCTTCTTCCTGGAACTAAAGGCATGCACCACCACCGAATTTTAGAGACTTAACATGAGAGGCTTATACTATTAGATATTCCATATTTGATTTGTCTTGCACAAGCTTAACAAAATCCACATGAAGCTCTGATGTATGAAATCCATTTCAGCACTGTCAGAATATTTTTAATTATTCCTTTAGAATTAGCACAAATGTGGGGAGTAGATTTTTTTTTAAAGAATCTGCTTCAAACAATCACCTTTGACTGCTTAGAAACCACTATTAATATTTATATGCAATGCTTTTCGCCTGGCTCTCGGATAAATGGATTTTTGCACTTAACTGAAAGCCGTTCTCCCTCCATGACACTCTGAATGGCCCAGGCAAGCCCTTTACTTTGCCAAGTTAACCTTCCTTTCCAGTGGACATTTGACAGCGAGACTTCCCTAGTTGAATTAATCAGAAAATTTAAACTGCACCCTGAGTCTCACTCATGCTGTCATGCACAGGTGTTTGACAGTGTGAGCTCTCAGTCCTTAAAACAAGACACATGTTCAGAGTTTCCATGGGAGTTGCATGAACTCCTTGGATAAAGCCCTGAAGTCGGATTTTAAACGTGTTAGAGAAAGGCTAGACACCTCCTCCATCATGTCAGCAAACAGCACATGACTCCAGTTCTTGCCCATCTATTAAAGATCTTAAAACTTCCTTCCGTTTCCATCATTCCACAGATATGTTCCACAAAACATGAATCAAAGAACAAAACCCTGCCCCAAGTCTCTATGGGCTGCTGTTGCTGCTGCTGTGGCTGCCTGCCCATCACTCATAGCCCAGCAAACAGCCCTGATACCTGCACTTCCCATAGGCAGCAACCACCCCAAGGTCTCTCCCAGCTTTCCCTCGGCACTGATCTTGTCCTCTTCAGTCCTGCAGCCAAGATTTATCGTTTCCATGTTGATTCTTTCTTTTTCAGTTTTTTTATTCTTTGATAATGCCGTGCATGTGTTCAGTGTATTTTGATCATACCTTCAACTCCCTCCTTCCACTCCCTCAATCCTCCCAACATCTCTCCCATCTTTATGTCATATATATATATATATATATATATATATATATATATATATATATCTCACCTACTGAGTCTCATGCCTGCATGTGCATAGATGTGATGCCAACCCCAGAACTAGGGACAACCTGCCGGTGGTCACATCTCAGAACAGAAATTATTCCCTGCTCCCTGAACATGGGTATTTGGGGCCAGAGAATGTCTGAGGATAGACATTCTAAAATGCCCTCGATTATATCTTCTCTGAAATCAGGATCTCTTTGCCTTAGTATTATTGAGTGCTTAATATACTACATGGTTCACACTGGTTGTCTACTAAAAGCCACAACACGATCTTCCAGGCACTGCCATCCCTTCACTCATAATTGAGGGGGAGAGAAGAGTTCAGAGGGGTTAGATAAATGGTCCAAGGTCACTCAGTAAGTGAGGCCGCCAGGGTTTGATCACATGCTCCAGCTTTTAAGCAGGAGATGGAGGCGGTGTGTGACTCCTCCAGGGTTCAGGGGGCACTGCTGTGTTCAGTTTTCTGAAAGCTCCCTCCTATCCCCAAATGGGCAGTGGTCTCTAGGAGGGAACAAGGGAGTCTGGGAAGCATCTTTCTGGAGATTCTAGGGCTCTTTCTTTGAGAGTCTTCCTCGGTGACCTAATTCTTCCAAAGAGAGCACAGACGATGTGTTTCTCTACCTCCTAATAATGATTCTATCAAGGGACTAATCCATCTACTATGTCAGAACCCATATGACTTAATCATCTCTAGAAATGCTATCACAGATGCACCCACAGGGTCACTTGTGGGTTATTAGTTAACCCCCATCCAAGCCATCAGGTGGACAATTATGATTGGCCAGTCACAAGTGTGCAGTAGAAACAGCTTCAAGAGCTCACTCACAGACCTAGCTCTGTCTTGAAAACCCATGGCATTTCTAAAGCCTTGCTCCAAGTTCACTAACCCCTGCCCTGACTTCCCTGGGTATCATCAAGAAGACATGGCTTCATATTTGCCAACACCACAAAGCATGAAATACACCCACTATTTTAGCACCAGGAAGATTGTGTATTAATGAGGGTGGCATTAGTTTTTTAAACTTTATTTACTTTGAGGCCTCCCATAGAACTATCAATTAGATACTAGCTAATTGATAAAATAATCAAAATAACAATGATAATACATTATTTGTTACTGGTATGTGCTTTAAAGCATATTAATTGAAGAATGTTACTAACAAAATATACAAAGTCAAGCCAGTTTCTGAAGTTGGGACTCAGACAAATCAGGGCTGGTTGCCAGTTCTTTCTGACTGTTATGTTTTATGTTCAACAATGATTTCTTACCACTCCAAAATTCTGAGCAAACACTCAAAAAGCACCCTAGCCCATGACTGTGGTTTGAAGTGGATCACGTGACCTGTTTTGAGTTTCACCCCTGACCAAAATCTTCCATTTTAAACCCCAAGCAAATTTTTCCTTTTCCCCACCAGCTTCCAAAGCCCAGAAGAACAGATGGGAGAGGACAAGATGACTCACTGATGGCTTGTAAGTAGCCTCGAACAATGAGGAACAAAACAAAGAGAATTGTATTCTGGGGGATGGGAGACTCATCGTAAGAACATCAGGGGTCTCCAGGGTGATGGACAAATGAGGCTCAAGGAAAGTGAACTAGCATCAGTCAGACTCTTGGAAGTGTGACGTGACGTGGTAAAGGTGAAGATCTGAACAAGGGTTCTGGCACCTGCACCGAGATGTGTGAACCCTGGACATGTTTCCAAGTGGACCTGGAACTGTTTACAAGTAATAAAACTGGTGCCTA